AGTGCTATTGTCTATATCCCCTTCTGACTCATTTTCAACAATGCTTTCTTCCTTGTCCTGTTCGATTGCATTTTCGACGTCATTATTTTGTTCCATATTGTCATGCGAATGCAACAACTTCTCTAAATCTTCTTCAGATCTTATAACTCTAATCATATCACTAGGGATTGCTGAAGTTGCAAGGCCCATTTTCATTGGACAACCAAACATTGCTTCGTAGGGGGAACATTTGATTCCCTTGTGATATGATTACAGTTATAATAGAGTTAATTTTTCATTGCCTGGATGAATCTTAAACTCTCTGACCACTTTGATAACTGATTGGTTTCCATCCACGTGCTCAACATATTTTCTACGTCTTGATTAGCACGCTCCACTGATCCTTGACTTTGGCTATGTCTTGCCTTTCCATGTACGATTTTTACATCCGGCCACATGGAGCATAAACTCTCAATAACTTGGTTAGAGAATTCTCGACAATTACCGGAATGAAGGATGCTCGGCGCTCCAAAATTGGTGAAAATATCCAAACGATGGTATGCAACTTCTACGGCGCGTTTAGTTTGAAGCGCACGAAAGATCACAAATTTGGTAAAATGGTCTTGATAAACTAAAATAAATTTATAATTTCCATCTGGGGTAGTTTGTAGATCTATTAGATCAACCTGACAGCGTGAGTTCATTTCACTGTGAAGTATAGGTCTGACGACAATGCCCTTTTTCAGTCTTCTGTTTCTTTTGGCAAGGTTGACATAGCTTCAAATATATGTCATAGTAGCCTCAACTGTTACATTTTTATACTTGAGGTTACATTCCTTAAGCATCCGTGTCCTTCCACCGTGGCCAACAGCAACATGTGTTTCTTCGAGAATATTGAATAAGTCCTCGTAACAAATGAAATACCTTATTTCTCCATCCTCCTCCTTCATAGGTGCAATTAGTTTTTCTTCGCCGCCTAAAGTCAAAATGTCGTAACGCTTTATACGCCTGTAATGAACAACTTGTTTCTTTTTCATGTTCTTTGCAGCTTTTACTTCCTCCAAACACTTTGCGTATTTGTCCCTATTAAGATAAAAGTTATTATCTTTCTTGCTTGCAACGAGCTCGTCCATTATTTCATAAAATCTCTGTTTCATACTCAACTTGATTCATAAATAACTTTTAGACAACGAAATCTCAAGCAAGATTAGAATTAACGTGCGTGTTCTAACGTGTCAAACGATGGAATGAGGCGAGCGAAGGCGGCGACGCGGAGCGGTGCGGAAAGCGGGGACTATTTTTTCAACATTTACTATGTCTCTGAGGTAAAACCTAAGATATACCGAGTAAATGATGTTAAAAGTTCGAAATTAGCGATGATCGCAGAACATTTCGGACTTTTACCACAAACATTTGGTAAATCTTAGGTTTTACTGGAAGATCTTAGGATTTACCATAGTTCGAGCATTTACAGTAATAAATATAATTAAATACTACACATAATAAAAACTGTACTTTATTCTCTTGTAAAAAAAAATTATTACAAAATTTGATATCAAATTTTTTTATCGAAGCCTAAAAAAAGCTCAAAATTTACGCCGATTCAAATTATCGCGACATTTCATTGATTCGTATATAATACGATTATTCCCAAACGCGAACCAATCACCAAAAGGTGACAATTCGTCGTAGCGCTGTACTTTCCTTAAATCTATGTTTGTTTGGAGCAATTTTGGAAAAATATAGCATCATGGATACCATAGAAAATATCGACTTCGCTTGGCAAGAATTAACTGATAAATGCATGAACAGAGTGTGGAAGAAGTTATGGCTGAAAGTATTCAAGAATTCTCAACGAGAAGAGACTATTGCTGGTCTGTATCGTTGGTCGACCAAATTGTCAACCTAATCGATACAGCAGGATTAGGAGAAGTAGACGAGCAGTATATTGAGGAGTTACTGCAGGTTTCTGGCGAGTACCTTACCAACGACGACCTTCAAGAATTGCCAGAACAAGGAATTCGTGTAGAACTAGAAAATAGTGATTCTGAAAACGAAGAACTCAAAGAATTTTTCTACAGATTTCCTTGATAAAAGTTTGGTAACGATAACCGAAATCGTTGATCAAACTGTAGCAAATGATCCAGTTTTTGAAAGCAGTGTAAAAGCAACATGAGGCGTTTTGTATGCGATCTTCAGCTACCGACATTTGCTTAAAAAAACGAAAAAAAACGTCAAATGAAACTACACGACTTTATCACAAAAAAAGAATTTCGCAAAAGCCAGAACCTTTATCACAAAATATGAACTTTACATTTCTGTGTGCATACATTTATGTGTTATCTAACGTATATTATTATGCAAATTAATATAAAAATAACTTAAAATTAAAGTAAAGTGTTTATTTTTGGTCGCGTGTTTCACTTTTCCTATTTACTCTGTGTTAAAATGGCATCGTTTAACGCTGTTTCGTTTAGCACTTTGTCGTCTAGGAACGTATCCTCCGCGTTAAGCGGGGTCTTAGTGTATATACAGTCGACCCCCCCTATAACGTGCGTTCCTATAACGACAATTCCTATAACGTAGCGAAAAAATTGTAGCAACATTCGTATAAAGTACCTCCTATAACGTTGTTTCGCGACAAGATTGATAGAATCTGGACCAATAGTGGATAAGCAACCGAACTGCTTTCCTTCGACCCTACGCCACGCTACGGAGCAGCTAAATTGAGTTTGCTATCGTCTGTACAGTATTATATATAAATTATATATAAATTAGGTACTGTATATATAATTATATATTAACTTAATTTATTGTAACTTTATTATAATTATATATATGCTTTCTGCCGCCTGGCAACACGCTACGGAGATTTTAGGCTAGTAAGTTGAGTTTATTATCGTCTGTACAGTATGTAAATTAGGTACCGTAAGTCTAATACAGCACTAATTTTATACATTTCTTGTGAAAGAAACACTTCTTATTCAACGGCCATAAAAATTATTTATATTAATGATGTCTCCAAAGGTCAAGTTATTTTTCTGCGAAAAATTATTTATCAGAAATCGCGGCCGCCGTTTCGTGTGCTGTTCCGCGACGAAGACAAGCTTTGAACAACGGGCGTAGTCGAATGGTGCACACTCGGTAAGCAATCCTATAATTTTTTGTTTATAGCATAGTTTATACAGATTATTCCCAAAAAATTATAAGTGTTTTGGAAATGTTGAGAGGAATTAGTCTAGAATCGGGTAATTTTATAGAAGAAAGCCTTTCAAACAGCCTTAGTCCGTAAAGTTCACACCTATCGGGCTGCGATTGGCTCATGTATTTAATCATTCCTACAACGTAAAATTCGATTAGCGTGGAACGTATCTAAGCGTTATAGGGGGGTCTACTGTATACCAAGTAACATGTGTTTTAGACTATATTGTTGCTATCACTGTTAATATCTAACAATGGTGTTTCAGTTCTTGCTATCTGACATTTTTTTCTATTTGTCAATCTATAACTCATTACCTGTGTGTAAATTTGAAAATTTAAATTTCTATTTTTCAAACTTACCCTGAAGTCCAATTCCTACTCTTTCTTCTAACAGGTCCATCTGATTTCAAGAACTGTCTACAGTATTGATTTCCAAATCTGATCTCTATTGACTTTTAATCCTCTATCTAATCTGTTCCTAATATTTTCTGGCTCAACTTTAATTACTTTCTATCTTATTAATAAACACAATATTAATTGTAAATAATGATTACTACCGTGTTTCCCCGAAAATAAGACAGTGTCTTATATTAATTTTTGCTCTGAAAAATGCGCTGGTCTTATTTTCAGGGAATGTCTTATTTTTTCCAGGAAGAAGAATTCACATTTATTATTGAACAAAAAAATTCCCAAGTCGAACTTAGACCAGAGTGACGTATATCCGGTGTGTCGAACTGTCGCCTTTTTATAGCGTCAACATAGGACTTGATGATCAATTAGTGCTTACTGAACCGTAGCACTATGCAAATGTCATGTGGCGTGATTCCCGGCCGACCAATTAGCCATCACCAGCCGTAACGTTATGCAAATCATGCAGTGTGGCGTAGTTGTCTGCTGACCAATCAGTGGCTGTACTTTCAAAAAGCCAACGGCCACTTTTAACCGTCTGTCAATGACCGTTACGACTAAAAAGAACTTCGCTAGGTCTTACTTTCAGGGGGAGGTCTTATATTTCGCAATTCAGCAAAATCTGTGCTAGGGCTTATTTTTTGGGGATGTCTTATTTTCGGGGAAACACGGTATATCTAATTTGTCACCACATTTTGCAATAATTTATTCAATATTAATGAAAATATGGGTATAAAATTAAACCTTGATACGCTTGAAAATTTACTTTAAATTCTGTTTTTATAACACTTTAACCCATCCCAATGCTTGTTTTAGCATTTCTATACATATTCATAATTAAATTTATATAATTCTCTTCAACTTGTTTTCTTTCTGATTCAAAAAGAATTCACTGTGGGCACCCCATTTAATAAAGTATAGATAGACCAAACTATATTTTTGTACTATCTTTTCTTACCTATTATGAAAACTACCAAAAATATTTCAAAATAAACAGAAATTGTGGCATAAAACAACCGTCGAATCAAATTAAAATGTAAAATCATGAAAAATAGTTTTTAAAAACAATCGTTTAAAAAGAGCAAAACCAGAGTTAAAAGCGAGGAAAATTTCATTGAAAAGAATTTCAAATGTTTACAACTGACTATTGCTGTCCTCGAGCCATACTTACGCCGCAAAGCAATAACAGCGCTCACAGTGGCAGAAATATTAATTACGCCACATTCGTAGCGTTAAAGCTATTGTTAGCTGAGAGACCAGCATGTGTATCGACTCTAGTATGAATATTAACATGTATGAATAAAACAATTAAAAACATTTACTCGCTATTTTTTATATTAATTAATTAAGCACAACATTTATGAATATAAACATATTTTTATCTGAATTTCTAATTGTTGAATTTTTATTCCAGTGCAATGAGACAGGCAGCGTAAGATAAATGCTCTTATTATAGCCTTAAAATTGTTTGATATTAGTTTTAATAATTAATTTATAATTTATTTGTAGGAAATCCTTAGACAACATTCTAATCTTGATGTAAGTTACTTTTTTTTAATTTATTGTTAAAACAAAATTCACATTATTCTTATGTTACAGTGTACGCTATAACATATAATTTTTAATTTTCTCGGCTGTTATATATAACAGAAAAAAGGTCAAAAAATGACCCCCATGATTTTTACATTTTTCGACGCGGAAACACCGAAAAAATTCGGGTGTTTTTTTCTGTATGTACGGATATTAGTGTGTATTCACACGATTTCGTTTACCCTATTTAAAGCTTAATAAATCCTGTGCTTTTTGTCGAAAATTTCTGAAATTTTGCAGAGATGTTTGTTTATTAGGGAGATTGATGATATTAAGTTTTGGTGATTAAAGGTAGAGGGGTGAGGAGATAAAGGGTGTCGTGTGTATGTCCAGTAGGATTAGACTTGATGACGATTTTACTCTTTATTAGCATTTACAATTTTTTATAAAACATCTCTAATTTCAAAATTAGGCTTTTTTTTCCATTTTATAATAGTTAAAAATATAAAACGTTTTTTAAATAAAATATGATAAGAGATGGTGCTATCAAATGCTGCCGGGAAAGTTAAGCAACTCGTTGCAGGATTTTCGAATTTAGAAATATTTATTATAAAATTTATTAATTATAAATTTAATGTAGAAAATCGAGTTCAAAACTTATGATTTAAGTTACTTTGTCTGAGACTGAAATGATAAAGAAATTCTTTAATTCAGATTAGATCGGATGAAAAATCCGGATAATGTAAAATTTTGGAAAGTCAAACTGTTAGCTGATAGGGAACTACATAATTTCAGTATTGAAAGCGGTAACGTACAGTACATTTTATATTTTATATTGCGGCCAAAAAAGACTTTTTGGAGAAAATATAGGCCTATATGTTATCATACATTGGAATACACTTATAATACCGTATTATGTGCCAGAAATTTACACAACTTTGTTATGGAATAGGCTATGGTCAAGCTATTTCATAAAATAGTAAACAATTTTGGTTATTGAATTTTATTTTACTTTTTAATTAAAAATAAATTTTAACAGCTAAAGTCGTCTGTTATTTTACTTTCTGTACTTTTATCCGAATGTGGATTAAATATGAATTTTAGATAATCACTTTCTGATGAACGCGTTTACACTGTAGTAATTTTTCATAATTTTGTCTATCTCATAAACAAAGTTAATGATCTTCGTTGATTTTCAGCATACAACAGAAAGTTTGATCGTTAAATATATTAATATAATAAATATTTTGATACTAAGTAGTCGTAATTAATGTACCCGTGTTCAACACGTTACTAGGATATACCAAATGTCGGAATATCAAATTCTGTTGTATTTGGACTGCAACCAAATTTTGTAAAGTGACATTTCAGGACACGTGTAAGACATTTTCTAAAAATTAGTACAAAATCTCACCACAATAGCATTTTTAACACTGCAAGCAACAAACATTTTATTTGTACAAGGTACTAATATTATAGAGAAACCTTAGCAATGCAGCATGGGATACTGAGCTATGTGATCCCCATTCTGATGGTGTAAACCAGAAGTTGACGAACAGTGTCTTTAATGTTGTAAATACGTATCTATTACTAATATTACAAATGTTATTATCGATAAGAGAGTTTACGATTAAAAGCAGTGTTGCATGATGTGTTCTAATTAATGGAAATTAAAAAAATAATTGAAAATTATAATGTTCATACGATTTCTGTTTATTTGAACAGTTCACTAAAGAAAACTGCAAAGAGAAAATGATTACCTTTAACAACGTAAGTTTTCAGTTTGAATACTCAATTAAAAGCTTTTATTTTGTAATATAAAAGAAAAGTTTAGATTAATTTATTTTCAATATTATTTTAAATTATTGTGTAATTAAAATTTAATTTTTTTAGAATCACATGGAGAGTGTTATGGGGTGTTTCCAACCAAAGTAATAACATTTTTTTAAAAATCATGCGAATAAAATATTAATTACTGATTTAATATTTATTTAATATTAAATTGATAAATAGTTATATGAATATTTATTTTATTTTTCCGTATTTATTTGAATATCAAAAAGAAATATAAATTTTAAAATAAATCTATTCAATTTTATAAAATAGACAATTTCTTATGTATTAAAAAATATACAAATCAGTGGCGTACCGTGACATTTGATGATAGGGAAGCTGTGTTTCTTTAAGAAGCCGACTTCCAGGGGCAATCAGTAAGCAATGGTCTAGGGTCCATTCGTATTCATTTGTTCGATAAGCCAGTAAAAACCGTAGACTTCTCTAAATGTATTTTTAATTAATAGATTATCTAACGCACTTAATAAATAAGCAAGTTCAATATAATTAACTCTCTTATATTAGATTTAATAGATTCTATACGCCCTCTAAATGCCAATTCTCGCTTCGATAACATCTACTAATTAAAATATATCTATTAGCCGTAACTATCTTGTTATAATTTTCAATATATATTTTATATTGTGTACTAATGTTAAATTCTATTCTATTTTGATTTCCAAATTGCTTCAATTTTACGAAAGAATCGATGCGAGATTTAGGATTTTCGTGTCTTTTGCCAGCTTTACTCAAATTATTTAAATCGTCAAAGCCAATCTCATTCTACACACTAATTTTATTTGAAAATAGTAGGCAAGGCCAACAAAACAAATTTTGCATTTTTATGCATCCACAAAGCCATTTTATATCTTCATAAATTTTATCATGAAAATGTCGAACAAATTTTTTCTTTTTCATTATATGGTCTCGAGCCAAAACTTTTTGAAATAAATTTTCGATATCACAATTACATTCTAAATTGCTAGCTATAATATAAGGGCTAAAATTAAAAATAAAATTATAAAAACTTACTTGTTAAAATAAAATGTGTGATGATATACAATTATACATACCTGGTACAAAATATTCAATTGTATGAATATACTTTTAAAGAAAATTATAAATAAATATAGTTTTGTGAAGAAATGTACATAAAAATAACATAAAATAGTCTTTACTTTTTAAATATTAAAACAATCCACCTAGTTAAAATTGCTCCCTACCAGTGGCTCGTGGATGGAATCAGAGACTGTCTTGGTAGGTGTGCGGTGCGGTGCATGCTTGCAAAATCCCGAGGGTGCCAATACCGGTTAATGTCTCTTTTGTCTCATCACTAGTATATCTCAAAGGACGCGACAGGGTTGTTGAAAATTTTAAACGTTTCTCATCATAGCTGTAAAAATCTAAACTTGTTAAACTTAAAAGTCATTTGTTTTCTAACTACTGTAATTCATTTTAAGACAAGGTGTCCATGGAAATTTCCAAAATTTACAACTTTTACTCACTTTCATTGAACTGGAAAAATTTCTGTCTTTAGTACATCTAATATTACGAAGAAATCAGTCCCACTGTACTCGGCTAGATATTGGTCCGGTTAGGCTTTTAAGTAAAATTCCGGCTCTTTCATCAGGGTTTTGTTTACGTTCCCAATTCCCTAATCGCTTAATTATTTAACTACTTCTTAAATAAAAATAAGTCGAAACCATTTACTTTGTACTCGAATATTTGTAGTCTTGGGAAAAAAGTGGAAAGACAAATTTTCACGACAACGGATACATAAATCGTAAATTTAATGAAAATAAATTCTAGAGCCTTTTCTGTACCTGGTGCATCTCACTTATTCATTAAATTTAGTTGTAAATGACGCTGTCGAAGTAACGGTTAATTTTTTAACATTATACAAGAATTGTACATGTTTTTTTTCTACATCCCCTTAGAGATGGGATATATGAAATCGTAATATCACTGGTTTAACGTCGAAATCCGTAATATAAAATCGGAGAGCGGAATAAATATATCAAATATTTTAATGGATTTTTTAACTCCTGTCAACTATACGGAATATCGTAAAAACATACCAGTAAATTCTTATCGGTTGGGTTAAGTTATAAATCTACTCGTGATTCACGCAATCGAAATATGTAGTGGGCAGGCGGCTAACAGCCCAGAACCAGTCCTTGATAGAATTGGAATCTTTATATGTGTGCAGCTTTCACCCAAGGTCGTAGGCTTCCACCGGCTAAACCGGGTGAGGTTGGTGCTCTGTAAAGCGCATGCGCAGATCTGGCTTTTCGTAATCTGAAAATACAGGAGATTCCACTCTGCTACTAATATTCTAATATACAATAGCAATTTTTTTTTCCACGTGTAGTATAGAAATTTGCAATATGATACATAATGCGGTTATAATAAAATATTGTGCGATTATTTTCATATAATTAAAATTAATATTTATTTATTTTTTAGAGAATACGAGGGAAGCGGCGCTTCCAACGCTTCTAATGACGGCACGCCACTGATACAAATGATTTTATTTATAACAACTTTTACAATCAAAGTACTCTTTTCATTTACAGAAATGCTTTAAAAACTGGACAGATTTAAACAGTCTGAAGATATTAAAATTTCAATAATTTGTTGAATTTAATTGCTGAAAATTTGGTTTAGATAATGTTAAACATTTATAAAATAATTGTAAAGCTTTAAAAAATAAATGTTATTGCAAATATTATAACTTATGTTTTATTATATATGAATAGTCTAAGAGATGATTCGGTTTTATCTTTCATTACATCGGTTCCCAAACTAGCGAAAGCTATCGATTCCTTCAATAATCAAAAAATGTTTCTGGATCCTTACACATATATATTCCTATGTATATGCATATATACGTTTGTGTGTTGAAAGCGCTCTGTCAAGGAACTTCTATACAAACTAATTACATTGAAAATAAGTAATTTCCCGCATGATTTGGACGAATTTTCTTTATTAAGAGCCAATTTTAGCAGAAATTTCTATCGAGAAGCATCGTTTTTGGCAAATTTCCCTCATGTTTCCTTGTTTTATATAATCAAATCGAGCCAAATCATTATATTAGTATATATTGTTTAAAAAATTAACACACAACGTCCGTCAGGTACTGTACAAGTTTCGTTTTTTTTGTGCCTAACAGGTGAAGGGATCGCTTCTTTCCTTCAGTCTCAGCCTCAATTCTATCGCGATACGACAAAGTCTCGCAATGTATTCGTTTAGTTAAATACAATTGTAATATATTTTTCAAGAAATGTTTGTTTGTTTATTTAATTTCACAATAGAGTTTTTTAGATGTATTATATTGCTTATGTACTCGTCGTAGTTCTAAAACTGTAATAAAGAAGAATACGATAGAAATAGTAATAAACTTCTCATACGTACTTAATTTTAATTATACAAACGTATCTACATAAATTAAAACATCTAAACCAGGGGTGTCCAACCTTTTTGTTTCTCTAGGCCGCATTGGAGGAAGTCAAGGAGTTCGGGCCACAAGTACATATAATATATATTTATGGCCGAATATACAAGTATATTTAAAAATTAACATGTCTAGACTATAATAATAACTGTTAAAACTTTATCAAGAAAAAAGATATTTTAAAAATTACTTCTACAGACACTTTCAATTTTTTCTTAGAAATAGATAAATTCATTTATTATAAAAGAGACAAACGGAAATTTATTTGAAAAACACAAGTATTTGTTATATTTGTGTCTCTAATTAATAAAAAGCGACCAAACACCATTTTAAAGTGCATTTTTATTTACGTAATATAAATAATATGTAGCCCAAAAAGTAGCCAAAGCGCCAAATGATGTTTTTTACGTCAAACAAAAAAAGCAGCCACATTTTGCGCAATGTAGCCCAATCTTGCAACGTTGGAAAAAAACTAAATAAACTGTAGTTGTGAATCAAACGATTATAGACCCAAGTGCAGGGAAAGGAGAGAAAGAACAAAAGATAAAAAAGTGAGAAAGGTTGGAAAATTAAGGGTCATATTTGTTTAATAAAAGATCTATTTAACCTTTCTCACTACTACATGTTTTGTCCTTTCTCATCTTTCCCTCCTTTTCCGAAATTTGGGTCTATAATCCTTTGAGTCACAACTCCAGATTTATTTAGTAATCCTTCTGCATTTATGCATTCCAAGTACTGTATTTGAAAATACAGGTACTGTAAGGTCTCTTTTTATGCGGATTATTTTTATGCGATTTTGAAGTTGTGCGGTTTGTATTTCATCCAAAAATTTCTTGGACAAACATACATATAGGCTTGTTTAGAAAGCCCGCGTATAGACAGTCTCCAAAAATCGTGGAACGCTCAAAGCTCACTCCATTTGTTCCACTGACATATAACGTTTATGGATGTAAAGGACAGCTAGATCTACCTTAATCGCTTTAGTTCCTAGCAATTTTTGATATAAATGTAATTAAACATAAAAAATACTTAAAACTAAAAAAAACGAAAGAAATGCGTTAATTTTGAAGAAAAAGCTTCAAAGTTTAACTTCCTTTGTCTCGCCCTTCTGTGAAATTTAACACCGATGAGTCATTGTTTACACATCTGGATGACCTTGAACACAGCTGGAGTTGGATTTCCCGGGGCATTCTCATAGACGTCGCGGGAGGACAAGGGTTTAAAGTAGGGTGAACACTAGCTGGCCGTATATTTTTAAATATTTTTTAAAAATTTGGAGACTTAAAAAACATTCCAAAAATTCAAAAAAAAAATTCAAAAATGGCCTTAAGGACCGTGTTTTATGTAACGCTATGTAACCTGCCCGAGTTAACTCGGGCGAGGAACTAAAGGGGTTTTAATTAACTCTTCACATCCAGATGTCAGTGATTTGTTTTTAGAGTGAGCTTTTGCAATTCGGGGATTCCCCTTGTACAGTACATGATACATACCATCGACAAGTCGCTATTACATCATTCTGAGTTTCGCATTGAAAGGTATAAACTGTAATTGTTTTGAAATTAAATTTTATTTTAGCGGTGTTTTGTTCATTTTTATAATAAGTAGCGAGTTTAAATTTTGCTGATTTCAAGTTGCAGTATTAAGCAGCCTATTTCTTTTAATTTCTGCAAACTTTTTATGCGGTTTTAAGTTAATTTTAACTCGTTGTTTTGGTTTTATGCGATTTTAGAAAATTACGGAACGTATCCCTACTTTTTCAAGGCAAAGTCTTTTTTTATGCGAATTTTTTATATGCTCTTTTCTGTAGAACGTATCCACCACATAAAAAGAGACCTTACAGTATTTCCTTTACACTCAAAAATAAAATATGAATAAAGGTTTACAGTTTTGTGAAACTTCTTTTCTGAGTTTATGCCGTTGAAATAGATAAACAATAAAAAAATTAAAACATTTTGTCGGTTTTGTTTACACGTTTATTGGGCCGCATTGGAACTTACCTTGGGCCGCATGCGGCCCGCGGGGCGCGCCAGGGGTGGCCAACCTTTTCAGAAGGCGGGCCAAATTTCAAAAACAATATTTCCTGCCGAGCCACGCACCTATTTTTTTTTTTTAAATTAAAGTAAACAAGCAAGCGTGCTACAGCTTCAACCACATCGTCGCTTTTCAGTAGGTGAGATCGTGGTCAAGCACTTGCTTAGTTTAATGTAAAAAACACAAAAATAGGTATATTTATTTTTTTTGAAGAAAATAAAACGTAACCGAGAATCAAACATATTTATTAGACAATTTAAAAATATTTAAAAGTGAGACATCTGACTTTGCTTTACAGAACTAAGTGTATCAAAATTGATCTCGACTGATGTTGTCGCTACACGCAAACAGTTTTCCAAATGAACATCAGTAATTCGTGTTCTGACTTGTGATTTGATGTACTTCACTCGACTAAAAAGCTGTTCACACGCATAAGTGTTTCCACATAGCGAAACCATCGACAGAGCATGTTTGTAAAACGCAGGATATTTATCCTTGTCCATATACGTTTCATAGAACTCTTCCAAACCAACTTGATGAAATTTCTCCAACGTTTCAGGGTTTACTTACTTATAGAATCGATATGGTAGACAGGCTACTTGGTTAAAGTAGTTTGAACAGTAGTTATAAATATGCTAAATATGTATTTTAACGTCGATTGCAAAATCTCTCCAGATGCATTGGCGATAATAAAACGAAACTACAGAATAACACGTAACTTTGTACTTATGTGTAGGAGCTCGACAGCGTTGCGAGCTTCCCGAAAACGCCGAAGATCACAGAACGTGTATAGTTGAAGTTGAAGTCTCATATTTAATTTTATCAACACTTAGCGTCGGACAAAAAACTAAGTAACCTTGAGTGTCAAATAGCGTGGTATTTGAAATAGCTAAAAATCTATGGATTTTTCCAAAAATGAGAGGTATTTCAAATTTCTCTTAGCTATAATTTAAAAATACACGATACGAATAACTCATGAGGTAATGTTCTTTTGGTGATAAGTTAACATTTACGTTCATTTGACCTAGCTCCGCGGGCCTGGTGTTGGTCACCCCTGCTATAGACCATACCGTGCTCTATGAAAAAACAAGAACACAAATTTTAATTGTATTAGTCTAGCTTACAATTATAAACAAGCTACCATTTATTTCATTAAAATCTTAATTAGACGTTATTATTCACGAAATCAAAGAGATTCCTTGAATCACGTGTTATTTTTTCACGTATTCATTGATGATAAAATGTTTCGAGACATTTCCCTGCATGTTGTTTCTCATGTATCTTAAGGTCCTGCAAGTTTGTTTATTTTTGATTGCTTATTAAACTTTTAAATTACATCCCTCGCAATAAAAAAACAGATAAATTAAAATACTTCAGGGCTAACTTAATTTTTTATATGCAATTTATTTATTTTTAATTGTAAGATTAACAATTGTTTAATTGTCATCGTCAATCGTTAATTCATTTGGAATTTTCTTTTCGTTCCTTTTTCATATTTTCTGTAAAAATATAATTACTAATTTGCTATTTTTATACAAAATATTTTTAGTAATAATTCATACAGTAACAAATACGTGTATAATAGTTAAAAATTCATCTTACCTTTACACTTTTGAAAAATGATCATACCTTGCTTCATCAACTAATTAAAATAAATTGATTATGAGTTACCATTAGAAATTTAATAATAAAAATGTTTTAAAGAGATAAAAACCTTTTCAAAAATGATTTTCTTGTTGCTTTCGCAGTCTTCAGCTTCAACCTATTAAAAAAAATTTTATTAAATATTGTATTGTTAACTAGCAGATGAGCCCGGCGTTACCCGTGGAAAAAATAACAACAACAAAGGTTAAGATTATTAGATTATTTCGTACTTCTAATCTTTCCATTTATTTACTCATATATTTAAACTCGGCACCCTCGAAAACCACTTAAAACATGGCTCTCGGGTAACTTCGTATTATACAATTTTCCTATTGGAATGCCATCATACCTCTTGTTCAATAGAAAGGAGACTGTTGCAGAAGAGGTCAAAGTAATTCGATCAAAAGTAGTCGTTGATTTCTTCCCGGAAGAGACAATGGTCAACGACTGTTAATTAATACTGGTCTACTATTAATAACTGAAGTGATTCGTGTTGGATGGGTTGTGATGGCCGCGAACGTAATCGAAGTTATTAATCTTAATGTCCGAAAGACTTCATATGATTTAT